TTTGACTTAAACAACCTTCTATTCAGTTAAAAGTCTCTTATAGGCCGATGTATGCCGTTTAAAGGTATTCCGCACATATGGTTATCCATTTATTTTGATTCTTTATTACTTTCAAAAGGTTCATTTACACACACGCATACACCCGCAAACACACACACACGCACATACACTATATGTATACATATATATGTATATATATACACGCCCCTGCCAAGGCTTACCACGCCCCTGAGCCAACATAAAACGCCCCTGAACCAGCATATCACGCCCCTGAGCCAACATATCACGCACCTGAGCCAGTATACCACGTCCCTGAACCAGCATACCACGCCCCTGAACTAGCATATCACTCCCCTGAGCCAGCATATCATGCCCCAGTTCTACCCACCTATCATGCCTAAACTAAAGAAATGTTCTTTGTGTACCAAAAGTTCAATGAACATTGTCAATATTTAAAAGACTTTTGTATAATAAAATGAAACAGTGAATCTGATTCTTTGACTTAAACAACCTATTCAGTTAAAAGTCTCTTACAGGCAAAGGAATTCCAGTTCCTATAATTGATAATTTCTCAATCGATCTTTCAAGAAATACAAGAGGTATACCATTTCCGGAAAATGCATGATGTGATGTGTGTCTTTTGAGGTATTCCGCACATATGGTTATGTTTTCCTTTCCTTTTCTTTTTATTACTTTTAAATGGTTTATTTACACACATGCGCACACACAGAGACACACACACACATATATGTAAATGTATATATGTGTGTGTCCGTGCGTGTCAAATTATAGTCAAATAACAATTTAAATGCCTTAAAACAGGCCCAGGAAAAATATCTAATCATCTATCTGGGTAAACTATTGATTTCAGAGGGACTTCACTGAGAAATCAACTGGATGTGTTGGAGAGCTGCATTGTAATGTCTGTATATGTATTACCTAAACATAGATATATATGTACATACTTATATATGTATATGTCTATGTATATGTATGTGCACACACATACACACAGACACACACACAAATACACATGTACACACACACACACATGCACACAAACACACGCACACACACACACACACATATATATACACATATATACATGCATGCAGACACACAGATCTACCTATCTATCTATGCAAATCTATGTGAATTTTCTTATTTATCTCTGTGTACACGTTATTGTGTTTGTGTTCTCTCTATATATATGTATATGTATGTATATATATGCTAGCATATGCATATACAGTCTTCAGTAAGTTTTCTATCAATCTGTAGTTATGTCTGATTGTCTGTCACACAAATTTCATTTGAAAAGATTACCAATTAGTTTAAGCGCCCTGAAAAATATTACAGAAAAAAGGTTAAACTAGCTGCCAGTCTATCAGTCAGACATACTTTTCTTTCTTATCTCTGCTTATGTAAAAAGAAAGGAATCAACAAGAAAACATTTTATTAATTAGCATGAAATTGCATAAAAAAAACTATGTTGCTCAGTTATTCCTAATCAAACAAAATATAGCTATTATAGATAGGGTGAGTATTGCATAACACATGAGGTTTGGATGTTTTCTACGATTTAAAGTGGTGATTTTGTTATTCCATAGAGTACTGTGCAATATGCACGGTGGAGATGGTCATGGAGGAGAGATGCGTTTGCCAAGCGATCGACCTTGCCCCGCGAAAATTCCTAACTGCATTTGATGAACAAACATAATTTGAAAGTTAACTTTCCCCTGCAAGATGAAGTTGTACCTCGAGCGTTGTTAATATTTGATTGACTTGAAGTTAAGCCCAAAGAGCATTCTGAGAAGTTTCCTTTAGGCGGACACTCAAGTGACCTTCAGCGGTCAACGCAAGCGGCGCGGCTGCTATATAAAAAGGGCGGCCCTTCCCAGTAAGTCACAACCTTCTCAACCTCAACATGATGCGAAAGGTAGTGACTGTGAGATGGTGCTTTCTGTTACATTTGAAATTTTAAGAACTGGGAAACATGTTGAGTCCATTTACCAACGCTATTCTATCTTTACCAACAGGTAGGCTTGGTGCTGGTGTTAGGCGTGGTCGCCTTGGTTTCAGGCGATATCAGTCACCATGTTAAGAGTTCTCTGCACCACCCACTACATCACCATGCTGCTCCAAAACATCATGTAGCCCCTGTACACCAAGCTGCCCCAGTGCACCATGCTACTCCTGTACACCATGCTGCTCCTGTGCATCACGGAAAGGGATATGCTCCTGCTTACCCTGATGTAAGTTTTCCACTTTCTCTATATTAGAATTTAGCAGTTTGGATCACAAGTGCATTATACCTTGATTAGGATTAGAATGGTTTTGTATATAAAAAAAATATATCTCGATAATTCTGAGGCGATCTCCCACTCTCTTTAGAAGCCTCCACACTACGCCTATGAGTACGCCGTCAACGACGACTACGCCGGCACCCACTTCGGCCACTCGGAGGCTCGCGATGGCTACAACACGGAGGGCAAGTACTTCGTGCACCTCCCCGACGGCCGCGTCCAGACCGTCACTTACTACGCCGACGAGACTGGCTACCACCCCACCGTCTCCTACGAGGGGACGGCCCACTACGACGCCCACGCAGCCGTCCCTCATCACGCCCCTGCCAAGGCCTACCATGCCCCTGAACCAGCATATCACGCCCCTGAACCAGCATACCACGCCCCTGAACCAGCATATCACGCCCCTGAGCCAGCATATCATGCCCCAGTTCTACCCACCTATCATGCCTAAACTAAAGAAGTATTCTTTGTGTACCAAAAGTTCAATGAACATTGTCAATATTTAAAAGACTTTTCTATAATAAAATGAAACTGTGAATCTGATTCTTTGACTTAAACAACCTTCTATTCAGTTAAAAGTCTCTTATAGGCCGATGTATGCCGTGTAAAGGTATTCCGCATATATGGTTATCCATTTATTTTGATTCTTTATTACTTTCATAAGGTTCATTTACACACACGCATACGCACGCAAACACACACACGCACATACACTATATGTATACATATATATGTATATATATACACGCCCCTGCCAAGGCTTACCACGCCCCTGAGCCAACATACCACGCCCCTGAACCAGCATATCACGCACCTGAGCCAGTATACCATGCCCCTGAGCCAGCATATCATGCCCCAGTTCTACCCACCTATCATGCCTAAGCTAAAGAAGTATTTTTTATGTACCAAAAGTTCAATGAACATTGTCAGTATTTAAAAGACTTTTGTATAATAAAAGGAAACTGTGAATCTGATTCTTTGACTTAACCAACAACCTATTATCTTATAGACAAAAGAATTCCAGTTCCTATAATACATAATATGACATTTCACAATCGATCTTTCAACAAATACAAGAGGTATACCATTTCCGGAAAATGCCATGAGGTGGTGTATGCCTTTTCAGGTATTCCGCACATATGGTTATCCGTTTATCTTAATTTTCTATGACTTTCAAAAGGTTCATTTACACACACATACGCACGCAAACACACACACACACGCACATATATTATATGTATACATATATATGTATATATATGTGTGCGTGTGTCCGTGGGCGTGTAAACTTTTAATCAAGTAGCAATTTTATATGCCTTAAAACAGGCCCGGGAAAATATCTAAACATCTATCTGGGTAAACTATTTGTTTGTGAGGGTTTTCATAGAGAAATCAACTGGATATGTTTGGAGAGCTGCATTACAAATATCTGTATATATTATCTATACATAGATAAATATATACGCACATGTTTATGTACGTATATATCGATGTATATGTAACTGCAACACACACAAACGCACACACATATAAACATGCATGCAAACATAAAAATTCACCTATCTATCTATGTACATCTATGTGAATTTTCTTGTTCATATTTATGTACACGTTACTGTGTTTATGTCTATGTTCTCTATATATATGTATGCATATATATAAAATACATGTATAAATATAAACATATACATAAATATATATATATATATATATATATATATATATATATATATATATGTACAAACAATTAAGTTTTATTACTTTGTAGTTATGTCCGGTTGTCTATCACAAACTTTATTTGAAATGATCACCGATCAATTTACGCGTCCTGAAAAATATGGAAAGACGGTGAAGCTTCTCCCAGTCTGACTGAACTTATTGCATTAAAAGGACCATCAGTCAGACATACCTGAAAGGCTGTACCCCAGTGTTCACCTCTGAATATCGTTCATATTTCTTATGTAAAAAGAGAGGAATGAACAAAACATTTTATTAATTAAAATGAAAAAAATGCATAAAAAACTATTTTGCTCGATTAGAAAAGAACTTTTATAAATAAGGTGCATGGTGCACCAGGATTGGATGTTTTCCACAATTTAAAGTGATTTTATTATTCCACAGAGCACAGTGCAATAAGCGTAGTCTCTCTATTGTAATTTACTCCCTCCGAGATTACAGACCAATATAATCTATCTTATAATGGATATCTCAGAGGTTCTAATAATGTCTTCGTCGTCCTTCATGGAACCATGATAATTTTCGTCTTCATTTTGCAGTCCCTTCTTTGTTTATCTCTGTGACAGCTGATAAGACTTCTCCTCTGAGCTGCACGGTGGAGATGATCATGGAGGAGAGCTGCGTTTTCGAAGCGATTGACCTTGCCACACCAAGGAATTCCAACAGAAGGCATCAAGTGGAATAGCATCCAATTCCCTGCTCTTTAGTCTGAGTTTCCAAACTGCATTTGATGAACATTAAACATAATTTGAATGTTAACTTTCTCCTACAGGATGAAGTTGAACTTCGAATCTAGTCGATATCTGATTGACTTGCAGGGAAGCCCAAAAAGCATTTTGACAAGATTCCTTTAGGCGGACGCACAAGTGACCTTCAGCGGTCAACGCAAGCGGCGCGGCTGCTATATAAAAAGGGCGGCCCTTCCCAGTAAGTCACAACCTTTTCAACCTCAACATGATGCGAAAGGTAGTGACTGTGAGATGGTGCCTTCTATATTTGAAGTTTTAAGAACTGGGAAACATGTTGAGTCCATTTACCAACGCCATTCTATCTTTACCAACAGGTAGGCTTGGTGCTGGTGGCAGGCGTGGTCGCCCTCGTTTCAGGCGATATCAGTCACCATGTTAAGAGTTCTCTGCACCACCCACTACATCACCATGCTGCTCCAAAACATCATGTAGCCCCTGTACACCATGCTGCCCCAGTGCACCATGCTACTCCTGTACACCATGCTGCCCCTGTACATCATGCTGCTCCTGTGCATCACGGAAAGGGATATGCTCCTGCTTATCCTGATGTAAGTTTTCCACTTTATATATATTAGCATTTAGTAGTTTTGGATCACGAGTGCATTGTACTTAGCGTATTATAAGAATGGTTTGGTATATAAAAAGAATATCTAGGAATATATCCCGATAGTGCTAAGGCGATCTCCCACCCTCTTTAGAAGCCTCCACACTACGCCTATGAGTACGCTGTCAACGACGACTACGCCGGCACTCACTTCGGCCACTCGGAGGCTCGCGATGGCTACAACACGGAGGGCAAGTACTTCGTGCACCTCCCCGACGGCCGCGTCCAGACCGTCACTTACTACGCCGACGAGACTGGCTACCACCCCACCGTCTCGTACGAAGGAACGGCCCACTACGACGCCCACGCAGCCGTCCCTCACCACGTCCCTGCCAAGGCTTACCATGCCCCTGAACCAGCATATCACGCCCCTGAGCCAACATATCATGCCCCAGTTCTACCCACCTATCATGCCTAAGCTAAAGAAGTATTCGTTGTCTGTGAAAAGTTCAATGAACATTGTCAATATTTAAAAGATTTTTATATAATAAAATGAAACTTTGAACCTGATACTTTGACTCAAACAACCTTCTATTTAGTCAACAGTCTCTCATAGACAAGAGAATTTCAGTTCCTATTATACATACTATGACATTTCGTAATCGATCCTTCAAGGAAGATACAAGACATATACCATTTCCGGAAAATGCCAAGATTTGATGTTTGCCTTTGAGGTATTTCGCACATATGGTTATTCGTTTATTTTAAATTTTTGTTACTTAAAAAAAAATCAGTTACACACACATATATACATACAAACACATACACGCACACACATATATGTGCGTGTGTCCGTGTATGTAAATTTTTAATCAAATAGCAATTTCCATGCCATAAAACAGGCCTGGAAAAATATCTAAGCATCTATCTGGGGGAACTTTGGATTTAACTCTGGATTTAAGAGGGTCTTCGTTGAGAAATCAACTGGATTTGTTTGGAGAGCTGATATTTTTTGCAAATGTCTGTATATATATTACCTATACATAGATAGTTACATACGTACATACTTATTTATGTATAGATCTATGTATATGTGTGTGTGTGCACACACACACTCATGCATATGCACTCATACACATGCATACACACATATACACATGCATACACTCATATACACATGCATACACACATATTCACATGAGTACATACACACACACATATATATATAGATATGTATACATCCATACATACAGATCCATCTGTCTATTTATGTGAAATTTCTTATTCATCTTTGTGTACACGTTACTGTGTTTGTGTCTGTGTTCTCTCTATATATACAAATGCAGTCTTAAGTAAACTTTTTGTCAAACTATAGTTATCTATGTTTGTCTATCTGTCTATCACATAAATTTAATTTGAAATGATCACCGATCAATTTACTCGCTCTGCAAAACATTATGGAAAAAAGGTTGAAGCTTCCCCCAGTCTGTCTTAATTTATTGAATTAAAAGGACCATCAATCAGACATACCTGAAAGGCTGCACCCCAGTGTTCACCTCTGAATATCTTTCTTGTGTCTTCTTATGTAAAAAGACAGGAATCAACAAGAAAACATTTTATTAATTAGCATGAAAAAAATGCATAAAAAAGAACTATTTTGCTCAAACACGAGGATTGGATGTTTCCCACAATTTAAAGTGGTGATTCTATTATTCCACAGAGCACTGTACAATATGCATAGTCTCATTATTGTGATGTACTACCTTCGAGATTTCAGACCGGTATAGACATTCATATAAGGGATATTTCTGATGTCCTAAACAATGTCTTCGTCGTATGATCATTTTCGTCCCTTCTTTGTTTACCTCTGTGACAGCCGATAAGACTTCTCTTCTCTGAGCTGCACGGTGGAGATGATCATGGAGGAGAGCTGCGTTTGCCAAGCGATCGACCTTGCCCCACGAAAATTCCTAACTGCATTTGATGAACATCAAACATAATTTGAATATTAACTTTCTCCTGCAAGATGAAGTTGTACCTCGAGCGTTGTTAATATTTGATTGACTTGCAGTTAAGCCCAAAGAGCATTCTGAGAAGTTTCCTTTAGGCGGACACACAAGTGACCTTCAGCGGTCAACGCAAGCGGCGCGGCTGCTATATAAAAAGGGCGGCCCTTCCCAGTCAGTCACAACCTTCTCAACCTCAACATGATGCGAAAGGTAGTGACTGTGAGATGGTGCTTTCTGTTACATTTGAAGTTTTAAGAACTGGGAAACATGTTGACTCCATTTACCAACGCTATTCTATCTTTACCAACAGGTAGGCTTGGTGCTGGTGGCAGGCGTGGTCGCCCTGGTTTCAGGCGATATCAGTCACCATGTTAAGAGTTCTCTGCACCACCCACTACATCACCATGCTGTTCCAAAACATCATGTAGCCCCTGTACACCATGCTGCCCCAGTACACCATGCTACTCCTGTACACCATGCTGCCCCTGTACATCATGCTGCTCCTGTGCATCACGGAAAAGGATATGCTCCTGCTTATCCTGATGTAAGTTCAACTTCATTTACGTTAACATTTTTTTATTAAATTTTTCATATCATCTATAGTATGAGAGGAAAGTTCTTTTTTGAAAAAGATACCTTCTATCGAAGCAAAGAGTTATGTCACGTAACACCACGTCCACTCTCTTTAGACGCCTGCACACTACGCCTATGAGTACGCCGTCAACGACGACTACGCCGGCACCCACTTCGGCCACTCGGAGGCTCGCGACGGCTACAACACGGAGGGCAAGTACTTCGTGCACCTCCCCGACGGCCGCGTCCAGACCGTCACTTACTACGCCGACGAGACTGGCTACCACCCCACCGTCTCCTACGAGGGGACGGCCCACTACGATGCCCACGCAGCCGTCCCTCACCACGCCCCTGCCAAGGCTTACCACGCCCCTGAACCAGCATACCACGCCCCTGAACCAGCATATCACGCCCCTGAGCCAGCATATCATGCCCCAGTTCTACCCACCTATCATGCCTAAACTAAAGAAGTATTCTTTGTGTACCAAAAGTTCAATGAACATTGTCAATATTTAAAAGACTTTTGTATAATAAAATGAAACTGTGAATCTGATTCTTTGACTTAAACAACCTTCTATTCAGTTAAAAGTCTCTTACAGGCAAAGGAATTCCAGTTCCTATAATTGATAATTTCTCAATCGATCTTTCAAGAAATACAAGAGGTATACCATTTCCGGAAAATGCATGATGTGATGTGTGCCTTTTGAGGTATTTCGCACATATGGTTATGTTCTTCTTTTCTTTTCTTTGTATTACTTTTAAATGGTTTATTTACACACATGCGCACACACAGAGACACACACACACATATATGTTTATGTAGTTATTTGTGTGTGTCCGTGCGTGTGTCAAATTATAGTCAAATAACAATTTAAATGCCTTAAAACAGGCCCAGGAAAAAATATCTAATCATCTATCTGGGTAAACTATTGATTTCAGAGGGACTTCACTGAGAAATCAACTGGATGTGTTGGAGAGCTGCATTGCAATGTCTGTATATGTATTACCTAAACATAGATATATATGTACATACTTATATATGTATATGTCTATGTATATGTATGTGCACACACATACACACAGACACACACACAAATACACATGTACACACACACACACATGCACACAAACACACGCACACACACACACACATATATATACACATATATACATGCATGCAGACACACAGATCTACCTATCTATCTATGCAAATCTATGTGAATTTTCTTATTTATCTCTGTGTACACGTTATTGTGTTTGTGTTCTCTCTATATATATGTATATGTATGTATATATATGCTAGCATATGCATATACAGTCTTCAGTAAGCTTTCTATCAATCTGTAGTTATGTCTGATTGTCTGTCACACAAATTTCATTTGAAAAGATTACCAATTAGTTTAAACTTTCTGCCAGTCTGTCAGTCAGACATACTTTTCTTTCTTATCTCTGCTTATGTAAAAAGAAAGGAATCAACAAGAAAACATTTTATTAATTAGCAACAAATTGCATAAAAAACTATGTTGCTCAGTTATTCCTAATCAAACAAAATATAGCTATTATAGATAAGGTGAGTATTGCATAACACATGAGGTTTGGATGTTTTCTACGATTTAAAGTGGTGATTTTGTTATTCCATAGAGTACTGTGCAATATGCACGGTGGAGATGATCATGGAGGAGAGATGCGTTTGCCAAGCGATCGACCTTGCCCCGCGAAAATTTCTAACTGCATTTGATGAACATCAAACATAATTTGACATTTAACTTTCCCCTGCAAGATGAAGTTGTACCTCGAGCGTTGTTAATATTTGATTGACTTGAAGTTAAGCCCAAAGAGCATTCTGAGAAGTTTCCTTTAGGCGGACACTCAAGTGACCTTCAGCGGTCAACGCAAGCGGCGCGGCTGCTATATAAAAAGGGCGGCCCTTCCCAGTAAGTCACAACCTTCTCAACCTCAACATGATGCGAAAGGTAGTGACTGTGAGATGGTGCTTTCTGTTACATTTGAAATTTTAAGAACTGGGAAACATGTTGACTCCATTTACCAACGCTATTCTATCTTTATCAACAGGTAGGCTTGGTGCTGGTGGCAGGCGTGGTCGCCCTGGTTTCAGGCGATATCAGTCACCATGTTAAGAGTTCTCTGCACCACCCACTACATCACCATGCTGCTCCAAAACATCATGTAGCCCCTGTACACCATGCTGCCCCAGTGCACCATGCTACTCCTGTACACCATGCTGCTCCTGTGCATCACGGAAAGGGATATGCTCCTGCTTACCCTGATGTAAGTTTTCCACTTTCTCTATATTAGAATTTAGCAGTTTGGATCACGAGTGCATTATAACTAGATTAGGATTAGAATGGTTTTGTATATAAAAAGAATATATCTCGATAATTCTGAGGCGATCTCCCACTCTCTTTAGAAGCCTCCACACTACGCCTATGAGTACACCGTCAACGACGACTACGCCGGCACCCACTTCGGCCACTCGGAGGCTCGCGACGGCTACAACACGGAGGGTAAGTACTTCGTGCACCTCCCCGACGGCCGCGTCCAGACCGTCACTTACTACGCCGACGAGACTGGCTACCACCCCACCGTCTCCTACGAGGGGACGGCCCACTACGACGCCCACGCAGCCGTCCCTCTTCACGCCCCTGCCAAGGCCTACCATGCCCCTGAACCAGCATATCACGCCCCTGAACCAGCATACCACGCCCCTGAACCAGCATATCACGCCCCTGAGCCAGCATATCATGCCCCAGTTCTACCCACCTATCATGCCTAAACTAAAGAAGTATTCTTTGTGTACCAAAAGTTCAATGAACATTGTCAATATTTAAAAGACTTTTGTATAATAAAATGAAACTGTGAATCTGATTCTTTGACTTAAACAACCTTCTATTCAGTTAAAAGTCTCTTATAAGCCGATGTATGCCGTTTAAAGGTATTCCGCACATATGGTTATCCATTTATTTTGATTCTTTATTACTTTCATAAGGTTCATTTACACACACGCATACGCACGCAAACACACACACACGCACATACACTATATGTATATATATACACGCCCCTGCCAAGGCTTACCACGCCCCTGAGCCAACATACCACGCCCCTGAACCAGCATATCACGCCCCTGAGCCAACATATCATGCACCTGAGCATGTATACCTCGTCCCTGAACCAGCATATCATGCCCCAGTTCTACCCACCTATCATGCCTAAACTAAAGAAATGTTCTTTGTGTACCAAAAGATCAATGAACATTGTCAATATTTAAAAGACTTTTGTATAATAAAATGAAACTGTGAATCAGATTCTTCGACTTAAACAACCTTCTACTCAGTTAAAAGTCTCTTATAGGCAAAGGAATTCCAGTTCCTATAATTGATAATTTCTCAATCGATCTTTCAAGAAATACAAGAGGTATACCATTTCCGGAAAATGCATGATGTGATGTGTGCCTTTTGAGGTATTTCGCACATATGGTTATGTCTTCCTTTCCTTTTCTTTTTATTACTTTTAAATGGTTTATTTACAAACATGCGCACACACAGAGACACACACACACATATATGTATATGTAAATGTATATATGTGTGTCCGTGCGTGTCAAATTATAGTCAAATAACAATTTAAATGCCTTAAAACAGGCCCAGGAAAAATATCTAATAATCTATCTGGGTAAACTATTGATTTCAGAGGGACTTCACTGAGAAATCAACTGGATGTGTTGGAGAGCTGCATTGTAATGTCTGTATATGTATTACCTAAACATAGATAGATATATATGTACATACTTATATATGTATATGTCTATGTATATGTATGTGCACACACATACACACAGACACACACACAAATACACATGCACACACACACACATGCACACAAACACACGCACACACACACACATATATATACATATATATACATGCATGCAGACACACAGATCTACCTATCTATCTATGCAAATCTATGTGAATTTTCTTATTTATCTCTGTATACACGTTACTGTGTTTGTGTTCTCTCTATATATATGTATATATATGCTAGCATATGCATATAGTCTTCAGTAAGCTTTCTATCAATCTGTAGTTATGTCTGATTGTCTGTCTGTCACACAAATTTCATTTGAAAAGATTACCAATTAGTTTAAGCGCCCTGAAAAATATTGCAGAAAAAAGGTTAAACTTTCTGCCAGTCTATCAGTCAGACATCTTTCTTATCTCTGCTTAAGTAAAAAGAAAGGAATCAATAAGAAAACATTTTATTAATTAGCATCAAATTGCATAAAAAAACTATTTTGCTCAATTATTCCTAATCAAACAAAATATAGCTATTATAGATAAGGTGAGTATTGCATAACACATGAGGTTTGGATGTTTTCCACGATTTAAAGTGGTGATTTTGTTATTTCACAGAGCACTGTGCAATATGCACGGTGGAGATGATCATGGAGGAGAGATGCGTTTGCCAAGCGATCGACCTTGCCCCGCGAAAATTCCTAACTGCATTTGATGAACATCAAACATAATTTGAAAGTTAACTTTCCCCTGCAAGATGAAGTTGTACCTCGAACGTTGTTAATATTTGATTGACTTGAAGTTAAGCCCAAAGAGCATTCAGAGAAATTCCCTTTAGGCGGACACACAAGTGACCTTCAGCGCGGCAGCTATATAAAAAGGGCGGCGTTTCCCACTCAGCCACAACCTTCTCAACCTCAACATGATGCGAAAGGTAGTGACTGTGAGATGGTGCCTTCTATGATATTTGAAGTTTTAAGAACTGGGAAACATGTTGACTCCATTCTATCTTTACCAACAGGTATGCTTGGTGCTGGTGGCAGGCGTGGTCGCCCTGGTTTCAGGCGAAATCAGTCACCATGTTAAGAGTTCACTGCACCACCCACTAGATCACCATGCTGCTCCAAAACATCATGTAGCCCCTGTACACCATGCTGCTCCTGTGCATCACGGAAAGGGATATGCTCCTGCTTATCCTGATGTAAGTTAATTAACGTTTAACAGTTGTTGTTTTTTTCATATTATATATAGTATGAGAGGAAAGTTTTTTTGAAAAGGATACCTTCTATCGAAGCAAAGAGTTATGTCACGTAACACCACGTCCACTCTCTTTAGACACCTCCACACTACGCCTATGAGTACGCTGTCAACGACGACTACGCCGGCACCCACTTCGGCCACTCGGAGGCTCGCGACGGCTACAAGACAGAGGGCAAGTACTTCGTGCACCTTCCCGACGGCCGCGTCCAGACCGTCACTTACTACGCCGACGAGACTGGCTACCACCCCACCGTCTCCTACGAGGGGACTGCCCACTACGACGCCCACGCAGCCGTCCCTCACCACGCCCCTGCCAAGGCTTACCATGCCCCCGAACCAGCATATCACGCCCCTGAGCCAACATATCATGCCCCAGTTCTACCCACCTATCATGCTTAAGCTAAAGAAATATTCTTTATGTACGAAAAGTTCAAAGAACATTGTCAATATTTAAAATACATTTGTATAATAAAATGAAACTGTAAATCTGATTATTTGACTCAAGTAACCTTTTATTCAGTGAAAAGTCTCTTATAGGCAAAGGAATTCCAAATCCTATAATACATAATATGACATTTCACAATCGATCTTTCAACAAATACAAGAGGTATACCATTTCCGGAAAATGCATGTGATGTGCCTTTTGAGGTATTCCGCACATATGGTTATCCGTTTATTTTAACTTTTTCTTTCAAAAGGTTCATTTACACACGCAAGCACACACACACGCACACACACACTATATGTATATATACATATATATATATATGTGTGTGTGTGTGTGTGTGTGTAAAATATTAATCAAATAGCAATGTATATGCCTTAAAACAGACCAGGGAAAAATATCTAAGTATCTATCTGGGTAAACCATTTATTTCAGGTCCTCATCGATAAATTAACTGGATATGTTTGGAGAGCTGTATTACAAATGTCTGTATGCATTACCTATACATAGATAAGTACATACGTACATACTTATATATGTATATATCAATGTATATGTATATGTAACACAAACACACATGCACACAAACACACACACTCACACAGACACACACAAACACTCACACATATATATATACATGCATATATACATCTAGGTACGTATATCTATGTGAATTTTCTTATTCATTTTTGTGTACACGTTACTAGATTTGTGTCTGTGTTCTCTCTATATATATATCTACATATATACATATATATAAAATATATGTATATATATAAACATATGCATAAGTATATATATGTATAAACACGCATATACATATGCAGTCTTAAGTAAGCTTTCTGTTAATCTGTAGTTATGTCTGTTTGTCTAAGTATCACACAAATTTTATTTGAAATGATCACCGAGCAATTTATGCTTCCTGAAAAATATGGAAAGACGATGAATCTTCTCCCAGTCTGACTGAACTTATTGCGTTAAAAGGACAATCAGTCAGATATACCTGAAAGGCTGTACCCCAGTGTTCACGTCTGAATATCTTTCTTATTTCTTTTTATGTAAAACGAGAGGAATCAACAAAACATTTTATTAATTAAGATGAAAAAATACATAAAAAAAAACGATTTTGCTCGATTAGAAAAGAGCATCTATAAATAAGGTGCATAATGCACCAGGACTGGATGTTTCCCACAATTTAAAGTGATTTTATTATTCCACAGAGCTCTGTGCAATAAGCGTAGTCTCGTTATTGCAATTTACTCCCTTCCAGATTACAGACCGATATAGACTATTATATTATGCCTATCTCAGAGGTTCTAACAATGTCTTCGTCATACTTCATGGAACCATGATCATTTTCGTCGTCTTTTTGCAGTCCCTTCTTTGTCTATATCTGTGACAGCTGATAAGACTCCTCTTCTCTGAATTGCACGGTGGAGATGATCCGTTTGCGAAGCGATCGACCTTGCCACACCAACGAATTCCAACAGAAGGTATAAAGAGGAATACCATCCAATTCCCTTTAGTCTGGGTAATGAACGTTAAACATAATTTGAATAACAACTTTCTCCTACAAGATCAAGTTGAACTTCGAATGTAGTTAATGTCTGATTGACTTGCAGGTAAGCCCAAAAAGCACTTGACAAGTTCCCTTTAGGTGGACACACAAGTGACCTTCAGCGGTCAACGCAAGCGGCGCGGCTGCTATATAAAAAGGGCGGCCCTTCCCAGTAAGTCACAACCTTCTCAACCTCAACATGATGCGAAAGGTAGTGACTGAGATGGTGCTTTCTGACATTTGAAATTTTAAGAACTGGGAAACATGTTGACTCTATTTACCAACGCTATTCTATCTTTACCAACAGGTATGCTTGGTGCTGGTGGCAGGCGTGGTCGCCCTCGTTTCAGGCGATACCAGTCATCATGTTAAGAGTTCTCTGCACCACCCACTACATCGCCACGCGACTCCAAAACATCATGTAGCCCCTGTACACCATGCTGCCCCAGTGCACCATGCTGCCCCTGTACACCATGCTGCCCCTGTACATCATGCTCCTGTGCATCACGGAAAAGGATATGCTCCTGCTTACACTGATGTAAGTTTTCCACTTTCTCTATATTAGCATTTAGTAGTTTGGATCACGAGTGCATTGTACCTAGAGTATGATAAGAATGGTTTTGTATATAAAAAGAGTATTTAGGAATATATCCTGATAATGCTAAGGCGATCTCCCACTCTCTTTAGAAGCCTCCACACTACGCCTATGAGTACGCCGTCAACGACGACTACGCCGGCACCCACTTCGGCCACTCGGAGGCTCGCGACGGCTACAACACGGAGGGTAAGTACTTCGTGCACCTCCCCGACGGCCGCGTCCAGACCGTCACTTATTACGCCGACGAGACTGGCTACCACCCCACCGTCTCCTATGAGGGGACGGCCCACTACGACGTCCACGCAGCCGTCCCTCACCACGCCCCTGCCAAGGCTTACCACGCCCCTGAACCAGCATACCACGCCCCTGAACCAGCATATCATGCCCCAGTTCTACCCACCTATCATGCCTAAACTAAAGAAGTATTCTTTGTGTACCAAAAGTTCAATGAACATTGTCAATATTTAATAGATTTTTATATAATAAAATGAAACTTTGAACCTGATACTTTGACTCAAGTAACCCTCTATTCAGTCAAAAGTCTCTCATAGACAAGAGAATTCCAGTTCCTATTATACATACTATGACATTTCATAATCGATTCTTCAAGGAAGATACAAGACATATACCATTTCCGGAAAATGCCAAGATTGGATGTTTGCCTTTTGAGGTATTTCGCACATATGGTTTTCCGTTTATTTTCAATTTCAGTTACACACACGTATATACATACAAACACACACACACACACACACATATATGTGCGTGTGTCCGTGTATGTAAATTTTTAATCAAATAGCAATTTCCACGCCTTAAAACAGGCCTGGAAAAATATCTAAGCATTTATCTGGGGGAACTTTGGATTTAAAGTTCCCCCAGATGTGTTTGGAGAGCTGCATTGCAAATGTCTGTATATATATTACCTATACATAGATAGTTACATACGTACATACTTATATATGTATAGATCTATGCATATGTGTGTGTGTGCACACACACACTCATGCATATGCACTCATACACATGCATACACACATATACATATGCATACACACATATACACATGAGTACATACACACACATATATATATAGATATGTATACATGCAAACATACAGATCCATCTGTCTATATATGTGAAATTTCTTATTCATCTTCGTGTACACGTTACTGTGTTTGTGTCTGTGTTCTCTCTATATATACAAATGCAGTCTTAAGTAAACTTTTTGTCAAACTATAGTTATGTATGTTTGTCTATCTGTCTATCACATAAATTTTATTTGAAATGATCACCGATCAATTTACGCGCTCTGCAAAACATTATGGAAAAAAGGTTGAAGCTTCCCCCTCTTCTTCTTCTTCTTCTTCTTCTACAGGCTTTTGTCCCAGTTCAACTGGGGTCGCCGGTGCGGATCTTCCTCCTCCACTCTGCCCTATCCAGGGCCTCCCCCTCCGTCACTCCCGCCGTCTCCATGTCCTCCTTGATGCAATCCTCCCATCTCCTCTTCGGTCTTCCCCACCAGTCTCCTCACCCTCTTGCCCACGTACTCGTCCTCTCTCCTTGTCACGTGTCCCAGCCACCTGAGTCTGCACTCCCTCAGCTTCTCCCCGAGCTCTCCTACTCCAATGGTCTCTCTGATCGTTGTGTTGCGGATTTTATCCCGCCTCGTCTTCCCCAGCGCGATCCTTAGCATCCTCATTTCTGCCACATTCATCTTTGTCTCCTGGCCTTTCGTCACCGCCACTGCTTCCATTCCGTATAACATTGCCGGCCTGACCATGGTCTTGTGGAGTCTGCCCTTCAACTTTGGTGGTACCTTCCTGTCACAGAGTACTCCAGTAATCTTCCTCCATGCGTTCCAACCCGCCTGGATCCTCTTCCCTACTTCCTTATCCGACCCTCCGTCACACTGCACCGTGGAGCCCAGGTACTTGAATTCTTGGAGTCGGTTTAGCTTCGCTCCCTGCATCCTCACTTCTCTCTCTGGCTCTTGTTCGCCCATGCAGAGGTACTCGGTCTTCTGTCTGCTAACCTTCATGCCTCGCTCTTCCATTGCCTTTCTCCACTGTTCCAACCTCTCTTCCACCTCCTCATTCGTCTCTCCATTGAGTGCTACATCGTCTGCGTACATCAGATCCCATGGTGCTGTCCTCTGCACTGCTACCGTCAGGCAGTCTATGACCAATGCAAAGAGGAAAGGGCTAAGTGCGGATCCCTGGTGCAATCCCACTTTGACTTGGAAACTGTCCGTGGTTCCCACTATGGACTTCACCTTCGTTGTCGTGCCTTCGTACATGTCTTGGATTATCCTGACATACTTCTCGTCCACCTCTTTCAGCCTCAAGCAGTTCCACACCTCCGATCTAGGTACTCTATCGTACGCCTTTTCCAGGTCAATGAAGACACTGTGCAGCTCCCTTTGACCCTCTCTGTATTTCTCCATCAGTTGTCTCAGCGCAAATATTGCGTCTGTCGTGGACCTGCCTGGCTTCCCCCAGTCTGACTAAATTTATTGAATTAAAAGGACCATCAATCAGCCATACCTGAAAGGCTGCACCCCAGTGCTCACCTCTGAATATCTTTCTTGTGTCTTCTTAAGTAAAAAGAAAGGAATCAACAAGAAAACATTTTATTAATTAGCATGAAAAAAAATTGCATAAAAAAAGAACAAACACGAGGATTGGATGTTTCCCACAATTCAAAGCGGTGATTTTGTTATTCCACAGAGCACTGTGCAATATGCAGTCTCATTATTGTAATGTACTACCTTCGGGATTTCAGACCGGTATAGACATTCATATAAGGGATATTTCTGATGTCCTAAACAATGTCTTCGTCGTATGATCGTTTTCGTCTTCTTTTTGTAGTCCCTTCTTTGTTTATCTCTGTGACAGCCGATAAGACTTCTCTGAGCTGCACGGTGAAGATGATCATGGAGGAGAGCTGCGTTTGCCAAGCGATCGACCTTGCCCCACGAAAATTCCTAACTGCATTTAATGAACATCAAACATAATTTGAATGTTAACTTTCCCCTGCAAGATGAAGTTGTACCTCGAGCGTTGTTAATATTTGATTGACTTGAAATTAAGCCCAAAGAGCATTCTGAGAAGTTTCCTTTAGGCGGACACTCCAA